TACATCCTGCAGGGACAGGGACAGGGACATGGGGACACCTGCAGGGACAGGGACAGCTGCTCAGACACTCCTGGCAGCAGCTTGGCAGCTCAGAGACCTCTGCTGTGTGCTGACAGCTTGAGTTAAATTAACAACCAATGCCCTGAAAAGCCAGAGCATCAGGAAATAGGGCCTGGTGATTTCTGTCCAGTGCCACACCACAGGGACAATCACAGGGACAATCACAGGGACAAACACAGGGACAATCATAGGGACAACCACAGGGACAATCACAGGGACAACCACAGGGACCATCACAGGGACAACCACAGGGACCATCACAGGGACAATCACACAAAGGACCCACTGGGGGTTATATAAAGGGACATGAGGCTTTGGAACTCTGTGATATGACTGAAACAACAGAAATAACAATAACCCCCCTGCCATGGGTTTGAGATGTGGCTGCAGCCAGGGGAGATTTTCTGATGGAATTCAGCTCCAAGCAGGAACTGCTCCTGCCCCAGAGGTGTCAGGGACAGGGGCTGGCTGGTTTTGATTTGTGTAAAGGAATCAGCACCTACAGCAACATCAGCACCTACCAGTGGTGCTCCCAGTGCTTTGGGGGTGCTGTGGGGTGCCCCAGCAGAGGCTGCAGTGCCCTGGGGGTGTCCTCAGCCCCAGCTGCCCTGGGAGGTCATTGCCCAGTCTGGGCTCTGCTGTGTCTGGGGGCACTGGGAGCAGCTCCAGGTGATGTCACTGCCTGGGGACAGGGGGATGAGGGCACCCAGGGCCAGCTGTGCCACAGCTGGAGCTGCTGGGCAGGGACAGCCTGGCTGAGCTGTCCTGGTGCCACTGGAGCCCAGGGAGGCACTGGGGTGGGGTCACCTCAGCCCGGAGTGTGACCCCACCTTTCTGTGGGGTTCATCTGCATTAATGACATGAGGCTGTTGCCATCACGTGTTAATTAGGAGCACTGGAAGATTGAGGAGACAACAAACAAAGCCCCAGCCATGCAGGAGCTGGGGAGGAATCTGTGCCAGGGGATTGGGATCAAGATCAGCTCTAAGGTCCCTTCCCAGGCTGTCCATGCTGGGCTGCCATTATCCCCTGGGAATGGTTCATCCCCCTGGCCTCAGTGTAGCTGCCAAAGGAAGGGGCTTTCAGGCAGAGCCTGCAGAGCTCTGGGCCATTGACACTCCTTTCCACCAGGAGGAGAATGTATGGAATAAAGGGGAAGCAGAAAATGTTGGGAATGAAGCCAATTGCAAAGAAAATGTGCAGGGCAGAACGGCTCCACAGCAGATTGTGGAGGTCATGGCCTGCAGGTGGCTGGGTGAGCATTGTCAGGGTGGTGACAAGACCCAGGAGAGGCTCCTGGCTGGAAAACCCTGGGAAGGAGCTGGAGGTCAATGGAGATGGTTCAGGGACTGGAAATGTTTGGGGATATGGGCAGAGTGCAGCCAAGGACTCCAGGAATGCAGGTTAGGATATCTCTGAAAACACCAATCCTGGAGAAATTAAACATAATGCTGGGCCTTGGGCAGATGGGTTTGACAGAGGACAGGGAGCACGAGCTGAAGGGAGACACCTTTGGAATAATGAATATGAAATGTGAAAATCTGAGAATCCCAGACTGGTTCGGTTGGGAAGGGACCTTAAAAATCACCCAGTGCCACCCCTGTCATGGCAGGGACACCCCCAGTGTGCCAGGAATGTCCAGCCTGGCCTTGGGCACTGCCAGGGATCCAGGGGCAGCCACAGCTGCTCTGGGCAATGAAACAAGATTTTTTTAATAGTGAATGTAAGGAAATAATTGTTAGAATCTATTACCTGAGTGGTGCTGGAATTTCCACCCCTGAACCTTTCACACCAGGACAGGAGTGTTTTGAAATGCACTCAGAATTCCAGTCAGGCTGATATTCCCTGTGTGATGGGAGCTCTGTCATCTCAGTGCTTCTCACTGCTTTAGGAGATGGGAAAATGCAGGCAAAAGTGTGAATGGAGCCTCAGAGTCTGGGATTTTGCTGGATCCACTGCTGGAGGGAATCAGGGATTTGCTTCCCTCACATTTCAAGGAATAAGTGAGTGCCTCTGAAACCATTTCCACCTGTATTCCTGCAGCCAGGCTGAGTCAGTAATAGCAAAAATGGAAATTCTGCAATTTCCTGCTGGTTTGGTGCATTCTGCATTCCCTGATCTCCCTGCATCCTCCTCCAGGATGGAGCTGTCACTGCTGCCAGGGAACAGGGACAGGACAAGGGCCAATGGGCTCAGGCTGGGCCAGGGCAGGCTCAGCTTGGACAGCAGCAGCAATTTCTCCATGGAAAGGGTGCTCAGGCCTTGGCAGGGGCTGCCCAGGGAGCTT